ATTTGGTGGTTGTTTTTAGTTGTGAATGATATGTAATGGGTTTTATCAAAATTTAATGAGAGTAAATTGGCTTCGAACCATCTGTTTAAGGCTTCAAATACAATATTTATGTCATTTTTAAAGTTTTCAAATTTAGAGTTCTTAAATATTATACTAGTGTCATCTGCATAAAGAATTGGTTTAGATTTATTGTTGATGGTTTTAGATAGATCATTTATGTAGAGAAGAAAAAGTAAGGGACCTAAAATTGATACTTGTGGAACACCGTGCTTTATAATTCCCCAGTTTGAAAATGCATTATGACTGGAGTTTTTATTATTTTTTTCAATCATTATACTGAATTTGTTGCTCCCTAATATCCTGGGGTTACACAAATCAGAAAAGTGCAGATACATAAAGGATGAAAAGAAAAAGACAATAATAACTGAAAATTTGTGTAGTATCTACACAACTTTTAGTCAATCAACACAGTCTTACTGAAATACATTTTTTTATACTCTTCAGGTGGAAGTTCTTTTTTGCAGAAAGATCACCTTTGGTTACCTTCCACTGTTCACTGCCAAGTTGACTTAGCTTGTTGGTGTATAACTATTTTAGTTTTATGAACATTCAGCAATTGACCATAAAGCCAGCACAAAACCCTTTGCTATAAAATACCGATATGTGCTGGTAATATGCGCTTTCACTCAAGCCTCATCCTGGTATTTCTGAAATTCCAGCAGTGTGGGAACTTACAACCTGTCAATGGTAAAGCGGGCGGATTTGTCTCCATACATGTAAAAGGCAACGAGTCAGCTGATTAATGAGGACCATAATTTTTAACATATTTCATAGAACTGCAATGTTATGAATTGATGCAATTCACAAGTTCCAACAAATTATCAATCTTACCTGTACTTATTCCATCAAATAGAGATAACACCCTCAAGCCATTTTTGCGATTACTTGATACAAGAGGTAGTCCATCCTCTGAGAGGGGTAAGTCATCCCCACAGAACAAGGGTATTTTATCCAACGAGAAGAGGGCAGTGATCTACAACAGTAATATATATGGTACATCAGTTTAAATGTAGATTAGACCTATATTCAAAATGACAATGCAAGGCGAGATATATGGTTAAAAGTGTAACATCCTTGTGGAGAAAGCAAATGAGTTTAATGCAGTATCCATGTTGAATTTTAAGTTGCAGCAAACACATTCAAGACAAACTGGAAAGAATTCAGTACATACTCTGCTCAGGATAACAGACTCATGTCTTGGCGTTATGATTCCATTTACAGTTGGCCTTACATCACTGCATAAGAAACACTGCCATGGTTGCATTTTTTCTATCAACATCTTTGCCCCTTCTGCAGCCAGCACTTCAATGCAAGGAGTGCAGTATACTCTAAAATGTAACAAAAGCATTTTAAGGTTTATACATACATCAGTGCAATAATCTGTGGAAATTCAAGCACATTTAATGCTAGATGCTCCTTACTGTGTAACCAACCAAATTTTTAAAAATCCTTATAAGGCAATTCCTTTTTCTAAAAACGTCTCTTCCACTCTCATGTTCATTTTTAACCTCAGGGTCAAAACATAATGAATGCACAGATAGGTTTGAGACTTGTAAGGTTCACCAGTATGCAATTAATTGCCTGCCAGCATGAGTGCCAGTCAGTGAAAGAAAAGCACTGCTTATGTCCGTAGAAGAGCTACAGAACAGACATTTTGTCAAAGAGCTGTGCTTTTGATATAAACATTAAATAAGAATGTTCAGACCATTAGATCAGCTAGGATACAAAATCTTGAGGTACTACAATGTGACTACTCCACTGTATGTGATTTGTAGCTTTCCTGGCCATAGCACACAGTGAGCCTTCTCAATCTGCCCTGTCAATATGGAGTCGATGTCCAATATTTCAGACTGCCACCATTATTGGGACTGATGTAGAGTTGTGTCTGATAGTCCAGAGATTGACTGTCATCATGGTAGATCACCAACCCTAACAGACAGTCTAAGAAATATTGGACACAAACTCCTCACTGACACAGATTATCACTTTAGAAGACTTTATTGTGACTGCTTTAATAAAATATTTACAAATAATTTTTTCTGCCAATAGTTCTCCATGACAATAACATGGTGTGCATTTGGCACTCTTGCTGAACTACACAGCACATGGTGATAAATGAATGTCTAAAGTGATATGCTGTAAAATCTCCTGATACATACTGCCTGCAGATTTTCCTTTCCCTAATAAAAGCAGTGTATTTTATTTTATTCAGGAGGTAATAACTTTATATGATGAGGCTGGATGTTTACATTTTATAAATACTGAGTTTTATCCTTCACTGCAAATTAATAGAGATGGCATGAACCTTTGAGGTTACATCAATAAAGAAACAAAAATCAACTTCATTAGAATGATCTAATCTGATCTGTGTAAGCAGTTCCCCACTTCTGTGGTCTCATGACCCCTCTAGTTTCCATTTTTTGTTGTTGTTCCACTACAAAAAACTGTGGCCTACAGTCCACAGGTGAACTATACTGACTGAGCGACCACCGCTTATCAGCGAAGTTAGTGCCAACTTTAGCGGATAGAGGGTGTCGCATGGTCAGCACAACAGATCCCCATAACCGTTAATCTAGGTTTTCTAGACTGGAACCGGCATTTACTTGAAATAGCTCCCCAGTTATCCTCACAAGACTGAGTGGACCCCGTTCCAGACCCACTACTTCTCAGAAAATCTGGTAGCGCCGAGAATCGAACCCAGGACCTCTGGTCACAAGAGCTTTCTTTTTAAACTGTCTTAAGAAGCAATACTTCTATATCAAAAGTTATGTGAAAGCTAATACTTCCATCAACATTCTGGAATATTAGGCATCTGTTAAGACTGGAGACAGAATAATGAGAAATATTGCAATACTATGATTAAAGGTATTTCTCACTTCAACTGGGATCATATACCTGACACTAGGGCTGACACACATTCAGCTACTGTTCATAACACTGAATGGGATCAAAAACGTTCGTTTACCAGTTAACATTGTACACTCATATTCAGGTGCTTGGTGCAAATCTTGCCTGGGAAATCAGCTATCCTAGCTGGGGTTTTCCTCAGTCCCTCCAGGAAAATACTGGGATAGTACCTTAAGTCACAGATGCTTCCTACCACACTCTTTCTAAAACTGTCATCAGCCATCCATTCAACACTGTAATGGAGCCATTAAAAGCTTCATTACAACAAATTATAAATAAATAAATTTTATGTGAAAGAACACAACACTTATATTTTATCTATATCACAATTATTTTCAAAAGAAAGTTTCCCCACTGCCATCCATATGAAAATTCAGTGAGAAGCAAAAGCATTACCATCCCAATCTATGTTACTGCAGTATTTTTATCTGCTTCATAACATTCAGAATTAAATATCCACTTACTTGCAGCACCCTGGCCTGTCGCAAACATAAACTCTACCAGCTCTACTGCAAATAGCACAATGTGTCTGGAATAAAAGACTGAGTTAATACTGGTTCTTTCAGAGCTAGGTATGTTTATTGTTTTACCTTCAAGAATTAGGCACTCTGGGCTGGTCTGACTCAGAACTCTCTCTTGCACTGAATCATTTAAATGAACATTTTTACACTATATTTTAGCGCTTGTAAGCATGGCAGTGAAAATTTAATTATACTATGTTCCAGTACCCTCTTTCTTGAAGTTCCCTTGTGTTCTCATGCTTGGTTTTAGCCATGTAGTAAAATATGCAGTGCACCAGGAGATGTGGAACTTGTGACAATGTAGGATTTTGGATTCTCACAGCAGTGGTTATGAAGACTATTTCAGAGGAAGTGTAACGTCTTCAGAGTCGAAGAATAAGCTCAGCACAGAAACTAGCATGCAAGCAGATGGAACTCCTTACTGCCTCCTTTGACAGTGGTTTCCTGCTCCGCTTATTCTTTGACAATGAAGATGGAGGCAACAAATCGGTTAATTTTCAACAGACTTTAAGTTCTAGAAGATAGTATTCAACTTGTGACAAGTTTTCCAGTACATAACTGTTTGCCAATAAGAACACCAAAGCATACAGCACTGCTAAATTCTGTTATGTTATACCAAAAGATTAACTGACAGTAAAGCTTCAAAATTTATTACTGTTACATTATAAGCTTCTCTGGAAATTATAAACCACCTAAGGTGGACCTTCAGATGAGAAACTGTTTCCTCTCTTTTAAACACTTGAAGCCTTCCTTTTTGAGCACAGTGCTCAGCACTTGTGAAAATAGTGGTTGTTGTAGGGGGAAGGGGGGGAGTTACTAGTATTCTCATTATTTTGCAGCAAACATCTATTTTGTTCAGAGTGCCTAAGAGCACCCAGGCATTGACAGGTGCTGCTGTGTATACAAGATATTAACTACATTGTTAGTTTTGATTTGAAGCTAAAGATGAGCCTGCCTTAAAGGTGTGTAGCATTACACTTTGTCACTACAATACTCTGTACTCAGCATTAGCCTCTAAGAGGTTAAAGCCTCCTCTATGGTAATGACAAGCTTAGACTTAGGGTCCATATTTGGATAAACAAGGCTTAGTGTCAAAGTCACTGTGGTACAGTTAATGAGATCTTTTCACACTATCAGCTGGGTCAGTCAGTTAAAAATTACTTGCTTTTCAGGGACCATCTCTGTCACCACCAAGATCCAACATAACACTGGATCCAAACTGTCTCATCTATGTACCAACCTGAAACCCTTGATCAAAACTGTTAGAAAAGGAGGACTAGCGGTTGGAGTGATAAGTCTGCTTGGCTTTGGCTCAGCTGATAGCCTGAGAAAATTTCATTACCTTTTGCTGCCACTGAAGCTTCAGATCTTACACCGCAATGTAACTTTACATCTGAAATTAATTAAAACCCATTAATAATGAAAAAGAGTAAAGCTATCCCTGTAACAGCCCATGAAGGTCCATAGGGTTGTGAAACGTTGAGGGTCCCACATTATCTAGACAGTCGGTTCAAAGATAGCAGTAAGGTTGTCAGCATTACATGGCGGCCGTGCCTTACTCCCCAGGAAAATTATTTAATTAATTCCTGGTACTCATTTCTGTTAGAGGCTGAGTGAACCCCAGGACCATATTGCAGCTGGAAGGATTAGGTCAATTGAAAAAATTCAATGACCTCATCGGGACTTTAATCCACGACCTTCCAGCTTGTAGCATAGTGCCTCAACCAACTACACTATCACATGCCCCTTGAACCCCATTATAATTAAACTGCATTTGCTGTAAGTGTGGAACTGAACTGAAATCTTATACCTCAAGCAAATAACCACTGCAATTGCACTGGCTCTGAACACACAAATGTTATGATATATTCCATAGGAGAAATAAAATCACTCATTGGTAGTTATTAATTACAGCTAAAAGCATAGCACAGAAGTTAAAGACTTTAATCCATTGCTTTTATCAACTAGTGCATTGTATGTTTTGACTTTGGGGCTAAAAATCAAGCAGGAAAGTTCTGAAAACATTTTTATAAAAGAAACTGCTTAAACCATTCCATCTAAAACAAGTTTTCTTATGTGTACACATGAAACTTTAGAAAGAAACAAGCGAGGATTCAAGTGACTCCGTGTAGGCAATAACGTTTAGACAGAATAATAAAATTTTACTTACATGTATGCCATCATCACCAAATTCAAAGCAATGTTTTTTTAGAGCTTCCTGAAAGAAAACATTTGTAAATTTCAGAATTCCTTAAAATGAATCATGTTTGTAAATGAAATTTTAAAAATACAGTGAATGTTTCATGTCAAATCCTGGGACCATAATATTTTGAAACTGTTACATTGGTCAGTTGCATAATTAAAAAAAAAAAATGTATAATCCTTCATCCATGATATGTATATAGTGGCCGTCTTGTAGTGCACTCAGTTTCACCTGTTACTTCACGACATGTTTCGGCAACATAGTGCCATCATCAGGTGCCCTAATTACATTAATCTATTGCATTGCCTGCCCTCATATATCTTCACAACACCATTTAAAATGTATTTAAAAAGTGCGTATTTGTCAACTATAATAAATTTACACTCACTAAAACTTGTTAAGATTATTCATCTTATGTGTCTTAATTAAAACTTGCGTGTGGTTCATTCACTATGGGGTCGTTTTTCTTATTTTCTGTGTAAACCGTGTCTTGTGATGTGTGTTCCCTTCTTAGCTGTGAGTGTTGTAATGTTACATGTGAAGGGAACACACATCACAAGACACGGTTTACGCAGAATATAAGAAAAACGACCCCCATAGTGGAAGAACCACACGCAAGTTTTAATTATGACACATAAGATGAATAATCTTAACAAGTTTTAGTGAGTGTAAATTTATTATAGTCGACAAATACGCACTTTTTAAATACTTTTTAAATGGTGTTGTGAAGAAATATGAGGGCAGGCAATACAATAGATTAACATAATTAGGGCACCTGATGATGGCACTATGTTGCCAAAACATGTCATGAAGTAACAGGTGAAATTGAGTGCACTACAAGATGGCCACTATATACATATCATGGATGAAAATCAGTGCAACAGGATGCTAAAATACAACAGTATAATCCTTCTGTGTGGCTGCATCTTCTCTTCACAATACAGTGTAAATATTAGAAGTATTTATCCAAATGGGAATGGTAGGACTTCTTCTGTAGTGTGGATGAACTGTATACAGCACATCACACTGCACAACAGGTGACTAAATAGCTATGATGTGTGTTTTATTATAAGTTAGATTTTACTCTAAGTAGCACTACACTTTTAATGTTTTGGAAGTACTGTACTCCTTGTACTTTAACTGCAACATATTATCTCTAAACAACTTAGGTGTGTCATATTTTAGCATCCTGTTGTATAGTGACATATTCATATCATAAGTACAAAGTGTACAATGCAGTGGTCCCCCCAGTAACAAAAAAATTTTGCCTGATGATGGCCCATGTGTGGCTGAAACATGTTGCAACAAGGAATTAATGTATAGGTTAATGATAATTTAACAAGCACTGTTAGTGTATTAAATATGCTTTTAGTGTCTTAATGTCATTTTTGAAGTATTTAACAAGCACTTTTAGTGTAATAATATTTTTAGTGACTTCTATTTAAGGTTACTGTTGCAATATAGACAGTATACTTACAATATAAATATGAATTACAGTAGAACTTGGTTATAACGTCATCAAAGGGACCTAAAAATAGTGTCGTTATAAACGAATGTCGTTGTAACCGAAATGGGAACTTCCACAGTAGCCTTATGTTAGTCACGTAAAAATCTACCAAAAACCGAGTTAAAATGTTGCATTTTTTAGTGAAATACGTAGTTAAGTACAGACTAACGTAACATTAACATGGAATTAATATTGATTCTCCATATCGTTTGTACTGTAGAATTCACCAAACCAAATTCGCGGCATACATCAGCTTTTTTCCTTCCATTTTATATTTCACGAATCACTTTAACTTTCTCTTCAATGCTTAAAACTTTCCTTTTCATTGCCATGTTTTCGCTACTGCACTTCTCTGGGTTTAGGCAGGAACACTATAGGGTAAGTAGACAATGTGAGGTCCTGTTAGACGAGATTCTAGGAAAGGAATGCAGTTAACAACCTGCCTCATCCTCTTGCACTATTCACGCAGTCCCACCCCACACCCTTGTTTTTGCATAAAACCCACGCTCCTCTTGCAGCCCGCGGTCGTATTCTTCCAGGAGTCACGTCAGCAAGTAGAGAAAGTGAGGGTGGACAGACACATCGAACTTTCCCACGATATCAGAGAAATTCAGGAATGAAAATGATGTTAAATACGAGGTTGATGCATTTGTGCATGTCGTACTAAGCAAGGTATAAAAACAGTTGCTTTATGAGGAATTAGTTTGTACCATTGAATATTTGACGCAATAGACAAGGTGTCGCAGAAACCAATGTTGCTATAACCAAGTTTTACTGTATGTGTCTCATATATGAACACTTCTTTTGCATTTATCATTGATTACTTTTAAAACAAGTAAATAGATGCAGTGCCTACAGTTAATAAACGAGCAATTAAACACAAAGAAATCTCTTTTTCATTATTTTATAAAAGAAATCCTGGAAATGGTTGTACTGCATGCATCATGTAACTAAAACGAGTTTTATCAAACCATCTTGATGTGCAAATAAGATGTTATTTCCTCTCACCATACAAATCTTGCATAGTGACCCTTCAAAATATGGATGCTCTCCAACAATTTTTACTTCTGCAGATTTGCATCCAAGGCAGAGTCTTCTTATGGACATTTCGCCACTCTTCACCTTTGCCAAATCATCTGAAAAAGTAGTGGTACTTGTGACTGCATGTTACTCATCTAAGAGAAGGGAATAATGTAAGGGGGAGAAATACATTGTTAGCTTGCTGTATAGGTTAATTTTCCAAATAAGAAAAGGTGAAAGTAAAATACGTGGGGCAATCCAAAAGTTTCCGAAATTTGAATTTTGCCCGCGAATGGTTATGAGTACATCAAAATATCGCTAGGTGTCTCCTCACACATCCTTCTTGAATCAGTGTGGCAAGTGGCGTCGAGTTGAGTGGTTGGGTTTATTGTTGGTGAACATATTTCCATTGTTGTGTTTCCGTGAGTTTGCGGTTTTGCGATGGCTGACCTGAGAGAGCAGCGTGTCTGTACAAAGTTTTGTTTCAAACTTGGGAAAACCGTTGCAGAAACGCACCAAATGCTGAAGCAAGCTTTTGGTGAAAACAGTTTAGGCCAGACACAAACTTACAAGTGGTATAAGCGGTTTAAAAATGGCCGAACATTGACTGATGATGATTGTTCGGGACAGCCGTCAACGGACAAAACACCAGAAAATATCGCGAAAGTTAGGGATCTGATTCTGCAAGATCGTAGACTGACCATCCAAGACCTCTGTAACACCTTGGGACTAAGATATGGAACATGTCAACGAATTTTGACAGAGGAACTGAACATGAGGAGGATTGCGGTGAAGTTTGTGCCACGACTGCTGCAAAATGAACAGAAGCAGCATCGCTTGGAAGTCTGCAGGGAACTTCAGCAACAGCTTCAAGAGGATCCAAACTTTCTTTTGAAGGTTGTCACTGGTGACGAAAGTTGGGTTTATGGCTATGACCCTGAAAGCAAGCAGCAATCGTCACAATGGAAGAGCCCTTCTTCACCTCGGCCAAAAAAAAGCTTGACAAGTCAAGAGCAACATTAAGTCCATGATGATCTGTTTTTTTGATACTGACGGGATTGTTCATAAGGAGTTTGTCCCTCCTGGTCAGACAGTCAATAAAGAGTTCTATCGCGATGTTCTAAGGCGTTTGAGGGAGGACATGAGGAGAAAACGTCGAGAGAAGTGGTGCACGAACGACTGGGTACTCCACCATGACAACACACGACCACACACAGCTTACATTGTGCAGGAATTTTTGGCTAAAAACAAAGTGGCAGTTGCTCCCCACCCACCGTACTCGCCAGACTTAGCTCCATGCGACTTCTTTCTCTTCCCCAAGATGAAAATCAAGTTGAAGGGGCGAAGATTTGATACAGTTGAGGAAATTCAAGCGGAAACGCAGACGGTACTAAACACCCTAACAAAGAAAGACTTCCAGGATGCATTTGAAAAGTGGCAGAAACGCTGGGATTGGTGTATGCGCTCCCAAGGGGACTACTTTGAAGGTGATGGTGCAGAATGAGATCCAGGTAAGATGTAATAGTTTTTATTAATATATTTCTGGAACTTCTGGATTGCGCCACGTATATTGCCACTATTTCCTTTCCTAGTATGAAAGAAAATGTGTACAATGAAATCCTCATTTAAAATTTGCCTTCAGGAGATTTCTGTACCTTAAATCAAGATGGAATTATATACAGTATCCAACAGGGAATGACAGAATTGATAATTTCACATGTTACAAAAGTCTAAAAACAAAATAGTGCATAATAGCACAACAAGCCCTAATTGCTGCAAACAAAGATGTTGTGGCAAGAGGACAAACCTACAATAGAGCAACAAGAGATGGTCATTGCTAGGCAACGGCTTGGTAAACATTCTCCTGTGGCAAACAAGAAGAACTCTTAGAAGCGATGTTTTATATGCAGTCCATATGCAGGCTACATAACAAGAGTCAACAGAGTCCGTCAAAACCAAGAATCACTGTGCTGGCGAGGGACAGCAGCAATTTAGCAGTCAAGCAGAGGTCATTTCTTTTTTATTGTTAGTGGGGTGGGACTAAGTCCCTTGTACTACAGCCACTTCTGGCCTATTGTACCAGCCCCAGATTAGGTGAGGGTGATTGTGGAGCAATTGGTGGAATGAAGATTGGCAGGGGAAACCAAAGTACTCGAAGAAAACCTGCCCCAGCGCCACTTTGTCCACCACAAATCCCACTTGACCAGACCCGGGATCGAACCCGGGTCGCCACGGTGGGAAGCCAGCGACTAACCGCTTGAGTTATGGCGTGGCCTAAGCAGACGTCATACAAAATCGTGAGAATGAACATGTTCGCAGCACAGGACAAAATGAAGCCACACATAAAATGAGAGGCTTAAACTTGGCGACTGTCAAGCTTATGACCGTTCAAGTGGCTAAACTGCAGTTGTTTTTTCCATGGCTCTTCCAGCACATTCAGGGCCGTCGCCTCTTATTCAGTTCTGTAATCATTTTTCAGATGGCAGGACTCCTTGGATGAGTGATCAGCTCCTCGCAAGGCCTCTACCTAAACACAGGACAACATAAACACTGAATAAATGCATACAAACACCAAACATCCATGCCTTAAGTGGGATTCGAACCCACGATCCCAGCGTGAAGACAGTTCATGCCTTAAAACGCACAGCTACTGTAACCGGCAAACTGCAGTTGTAGCATAAGATAAATAAGATAGGCATGATTTTTGCAGAGCCTGCAATGACAGAACTTAAAGGGAAGAATTTTCAATATCACACTATGTGTGATATTGACACATGACAAAGGCAAAGGATGTACATACGAGTAAGAGACAAATCCATCTTCTCATCAGAAAGGATGTTATACTGGGACTATGACTACAAGGATTGTTGCAAAAAAGGAATAAGGACTAGTCTTGAGCCTCACGAAGCCTGGCGCCAGGAAAATAATTGACCGTAAACCGCCAGTCTCAAAGTAACTGACTCTGTGGAGTTTGACGGGGCTTGACACCAAGACTGCCTGGGCAACTGACCATTGGTTTTAGTTTGATTTCGGCTTGATGTTAGTTATGAGAGTTTCCAGCCGATAATGACATAAGTATAGAAGCTGAGGAACCTACACTGTTGGAGCCATAACCTAGCATTGACTAATGAAGACAAACTGGGAAGGCAGTATGTGTTAGTGATTCATAGTGCATGAATTAGAAGGGCTGTTATAAACATCTGTGGTGTTCAGCAAATTCGATTACAACTTCAAACACCATGTCTAATCACTATCATGTGACAATATTCTTTGTCCTACTAGGGCTGGGCATCACAGCACCAGCAAACCAAGGAGCCATCTGGAGTAGCTGAGTTTTAAGGCAGCACATTGTGGACAGAGAATGGAACAGAGCATCACTGCCACATCAGAAGTGTACAGAGGATTCCAGGCATCTGGACTGCTATGTAACGTACAAAGCAGTGCGGCTAGGGCAGCGTGACAATGTAGCCACTACCTCAATGAAAGGTGAAGTGGGGGCTGTTCAAATTTTGAGTTCTGTATCATGGCAAATTTATCTGGCGTATATGAGTATTCTATTCTGTGGAGAACTACAGCTTCTTCGCATCCATAGCTTCCTCAGTTCTTCTCGTAAACTCAATATAGCTCACGGTTCCAGGCCAGGAAAATTCTATCCCATCAATTACTATGTTGACAGCATAATATGGTGCAACATTTAGCACTCACTGTCTCTTAGAAACACTAACCCTCTTAAAACTTAGAATGTTTGAAACAATTAGAATGTATTGTCGCGTATCGGGCGTATATCGCGACAAATAACTTCTCGATGTATTCGATGTAGCGAATTTTATTTCACATCCGCTCTCACAATCACCCAAATTACAATCTGACGATTACTGCTATCTGCAGCATCACAAATATTACACTCCAAATGCCAGAATACAACTGACTAGTTGCTGGCTAACTCGGCGGTAGCTCCAGGACTCGCTGACGGTCTCAGTACAACTCAGTACAACTCTGCGGTAGCCACACTAGAACT